AGGAGAACTTCTCCACTGCAACTCAGGGAAAACAGATGACTATGCGAAAACATCTCTAACACTACCCTACCAATATAAACAACACTGTTCAGGAGCAATGACTCTCTCTTCTCTTCCCCCCTGCCCTTCTTTACCCATGACAGCAACATCACCTAATGTATTCCTGGAAAGCAGGGAGACACTCTAAAGATACGGAGGACACCAAAAACTACAGAGAATAAAGTATTATAAAATTTGGGGAATATCAAGGAGAAAGATTTGAACCTACTTTATATGCCTCAATGTATACATTTTTCTGACAATTAAATGTCAGCATAGAAAACATTTCAATACTTACATGTGTACTTATAAGCGGGGGCCATAACATGAACACAAAGTATAAAAAATAAAATAAAGATTACAACATCGCAGAAGAGTGGCTGCACTAGGTCAGACAGCAGTTCAGCATCCGTCTCGAAAAGCAGACCACCGTGAAATTGTATGAGAACTTGTTTTTCTCATTACTTGCCCAAAATACTCTTCCCAGTCTCCAGTGATTTGCATCTCAAACTTCTTGAGTCAGACACCATAGACTGAAAAGCTACCTGAATCATTTGTATGTTACGTATCCAGCTTTAAGCACCTTGCTATGCAAAAGCAGGCAATAGTCTTCATTTTCAGGAGTTCAGTGTTTTCACATGCACACACAAAAAATATTGGCTAGTCAGACTTCCTTCAAGATATCCAGAGCGATATTGCATATAATCAGCCTTTTGCTAAAAGGAGCGTGGTAAGCCATTTGGTTAACTATCACAACAAATCATTATTAATAAAGTTCTGCTAAATCCAAACTTTAGATATCTTAACAACTCACCCAAAACTTTTTTCAAGTTCATTAACCTCTAGCATATTTTTTCTCTAAATACAGGCTGTTAGAGTGGTACTTTCTTCCATCTGTTAAACAACCGTGCTCTGAATTATACAGAAATGCAACTGAATAAAAAAATGATTCATTGAATTTAATAGTTTAGATGAGGGTATATTTTATTTCCATCTACTCAATGGCAGAATTCTCGCAAAGCCCAAAGAGTACAAGGCTTGGATAAACACACAGGCTTCTGTTAAGTGATAAAAATCTGAGGGTTTTTTCCCCCCATGTAAAAATTAAACTAACTTAACCTTTTTCCTTAAGGACTGAGTAAAAGCCAGATTTCTTTCTGGATGTTCACTCTTGGGGGAAGTGGGGTGACGGAACAAAATAAAAACCACACACACAACGCAAACCCTGCAAACAGTCAGACAATAGCATTTTCTGTGGCAAAAGAAAAAAATCCCTGCAGTTACACTAACTCAAGCTGCAATGAATAATTGGCATGATAACCTTCTGGTGTTTTCCAGAAATGTGTAACAAATAGTACAGTAAATGGCATTGGGAGCTATATCCAAGGACAGAATAAGCTCAGACAAAGTCTCTAGTCACACAGTGTTTGCATGGTACCACATCTCCACTGAGAGAAGCCTAAGACAGTTATGTTCATTTATACATTCCTGGTCATTCTGCTGCAGGAACTTCCAGTTATTCACCTGAGACCTCCTATGCTTAAAGGTGCTGCTGTACACGACAGTCTCAAATGACATTTGAAGTATCTTCGTCCTACCAAACACAGCAACAACGAAAAGAATGTAGCTGCATTTTCCCCTGCTCTTCCTGCCCAAAAGCGTGCCACCTCATCACCAGAGCTGCATTGCCTTTTCTTCACACTAGTAAATCACTGTCATAAATTAGAGTTCGTAACGCTCTCATTTAAATCTCCACTTCTAACATGACTGAGGGCTGCCCATGCAGTCAATGACAATGCGATCTATAACAACTGTGGGGAAGCCTGTGGCAAAAAATTAGCAGAATGAAATTGGTACTACAGCATGTAATAGGATAAGGGGTACCTGGTGAGGTGCAGTTGGTGCTCAGATTTACTCAGCAGTTCTGTCAGTTTTAGGCACTCCTCTCTGGCTCCTGTCACATCCTGCTGGGCTTGTTCCAAACGCTGTTTGTTTCCATTCAGCTCTAATCCCAGTTTTTCTATTTTCTTAGAAAATTGTAGAACCAAGAAAAAGTATATTTAAGAAATGCATAGAAATATAATATTTTAAGACAATAAATCTTAATGTGACCAAAGCTCCTGAAAAATAACGCATGCCTTTGCTTTAGAACAAAAGTAGTTTGTTGACAAAAACCGCAAAACAAGCAAATTAAAGTATTTGAAATTATATTCGTAGGAAAGCCAAAATGCTATCTTACTTAAAAACATGAATACACAATCAGTGTTATTGTCTTCATGCAGCTTGAGATACACACATTCAATCATTTTCTGACTTTCTCATGTGAAGGCTTCCATATTTGTGTGCCGAATTCACAGTGTTAGAAAGCCAGAAGGCAGCAGAACAGCAGCCATCTTCAGAAGCTGCTGGATTTAGGATAGCTCTTGTGGTCATGTATTTTGCTTATCTATTACACAAGCAACGACATGTGGGAATTTAGCTTTGTCATATTCACATAATATTATGCAAGAGAATAAAGGTAATTTTGTGATTTTACTGTTATTGAAATTTATTTATCACAACCGAATCCTAAACATACCAGCTGCTGTTAATCCTGTCATTTTCTTAACGACACTAGTCCTTATACGTCAACTAAACACAGTAAGTAAATCCAACTTAGTCGATGAGTCTGTTAAATTTGCATGACCAGCATCTTTGATTCCAATGACGCATACCGGACTTACAATCTCTAACTGAATCACACTATCAACAGTTTAAACATTTTCCACAAATATTCTCAGAAAGGAATATATTTTGCTCTAAGTCCATACACAACATACAAGTACCTGCAGGAAGACATTTGTAATGTAATACTATACTTTGTCCTAAGAATGCTTTTAAGGAGGCCAGTGCAGTACAGAATGAGCTAACAACATAATTTTGTCATGTAGTAACTACTCTGCACTAACTCCCTACATAAATGTTTATTCATCGTTGGGGTGGAGGGAACTTGCATCTTTTTCAGTCAACTAAACTGTGAAAGGTCATTTGTAACACAGAATAAAATCGTTCATATAGAGTTAGTGCTGAATAGCTATTATACTTTAAATTCATACCATAACTTATTTTGTGATAGCTTCCTTATGGAGACAGACAAGCCTCAATAGCTTCTTTAGTTAATGAAATTATTCATTCAAACATCCTACAAGAACAAATGTAATTCAGTCCAAATATTTGCACGTGAAGCACCTTTGTAATAATGTCTCTCTTTCTCCCATGAAAATGTTAACCTGAACCACTTACAGTAAGTCATGATGTCGCAGACAAATACAATCTCTTCATCCAGAAAAAAGTTTCATAATGTTCTTTTTTTTGTTAATTTTTAATTTTGCTAATTACTTAACTTTACACTTTTTTCCCTCCAAGAGCACTCAACAAAGGTTTGTGAAGGAAATTTTGATTAAAATTTGAATGTCACCTTGCTTTATCACATAGACCATCTATCAAATTAAAATCAGTAGTTCCAAGTTCAAATCAAAGATAGTGAAGATATCTGCAAAATTGTTAGTACTCTCTCCCTCTGAAGAATGTAACACCCTATTACCCGATCAGAATATTTCAAAACCAGGTGTGCAAAGGTATTCAGTTACATATGCTTTGCATTTTCACTTATTTCCAGAGACTCTTGTATATTTTAAATAGAACAACAGACAACTCAGTGTGTTCTCTACATTCTATTCCTAACAGCAGCAATTCATTAATGTTGGTTCTCCAATGACAGTAAACAGGGACACAAATTCTTCACTGCCTTTACAAGTTAAAGATAGGGAAGTTCTGCAACATTCTTAAAATTTGCTTTAAGAATACATCCATTCAGCATACCTTTAAAAAAAACCCAAACCACAAGTTAGTCAAAGAGCATCAACTAAGTAATTGAAAAAGCACAGCTGAGAACATAAATACATTCTAGATCACTCCTTCAGGGAGAAGTTTCAAGGAACAGATGGGCTTTACACCATCACCTCAAGTTAAACAGGCTCAGTCAAGTTTTGACACAGACCCACAGAAGGAAGCAAATTCCAAGTGCAAGAACCTCTGGTGAAAATGTTCTGCTTCCACCAGCCAGATGTTGAACCTGCAGGGTTGAACTCAAGAATACATTCATAGATTTCAGTTGTCATGAAAGTGCAGAGGGAAATTCTCAGACAATGACTCCATGACAGAATCTCTAAAGAGTCACAGGAGTCTTATGATTTCTATAAAAAGTATCAAGAAAGCAAACATCAGTTTTGAAGAACAGTTTTACTTCTGCTACTTCCACCAGTAATTCCAACATTCAGGATCAGCTGCTTTACACACACACATGTGCATATGTGTTTGTGCACGTGTGTAGGTGTATATAGAGATATATAAATATATCTTAAAATACAAATATTTAGACGTACTCAGTGTGAGCTATATGAAGAGTAGGAATTCTATACAAGAATTCTGGCAGTGACCATGGCAGAAATAGCAGAGAATCTCATGAGAAAGGGCTGGCAGAAAAATGCCACCCAAGAGAACAGGTTAACAGCATCTTAGAAACGATAAGCATCTAACACAGGTATATTTAGGGACATCAATTACATTCATTTTTGAAACACCAGAAAACATTCATTAAAAGTATTTTGGTAGGAGCCGTGTATCCTCACACTGAAAACAGACAGCCCATACTCTGAACTATACATGTCACTTTGGTTTAAAAACTCTGATAACAGTTTGAAATATATGAAGCCTCAGAACTTGAGACTTGTTGGTACAATAGAAGCCAGCCCTCTTCTCTCTCCTGCAACCAACAAGGGTCTCACAAATATACCCTATCCTGAAATACGTCAAGTCCAGTCCATCACTAGGTCACCACAATATAATCAGAATTTAAAATACAGAGAAATTACAGAACCAATGAATCTTCTTCACTGTCCCTGCAGGGAACCTTAGTGCCTTTACAAAACTACTCAGACTCAAACTAGTTTTCACATTACTTTTAGTTCCCATTTCTTCTACTGGGAAGCTGCAAGAAGTTCTGTAGGTGCTAGCTGGGCCCCAGCGTAATTGTACAGAGAGAAACAGAAACAAACCACTAACTAAAGTATTTTGCTGACAACTCTGCTTCTCATGCAGCGTTAATTTGATCCCTCAGTGCCTATCACTTGTGATACAGCTTTTTACAACATGATCAGAGAGTATTTCTTCAAGGTACTTAACTTTTCAATGTATGTGAGAGACAAGAGATGGAGCACAGAACTGCAAAAAGACAGATGACAATCTTGCATTTAAGAAAATCTGAAACAGATTTTCAGTATAACAAGGAACAGAATTATCATAATGTATATGTACAACAAGACTACATTAAGGTTGGAACAGGCAACTTCTGGTGCTTAACTCCTCAACTTTAATATTCTTATTACTTCTGCACATGATTTTTAAAGTACTATTTAATCTGTCTTGCACTGCAGTTGCCTAAACTCCCAGGAATATCAACAGAAACTTGACCATTGAAAGGTGACAGCCTCCTCTTACCTCAGTAAGAGAAACATTGTTATTAGTAAGTTGAAACACATTAACACCATTCTGCATACATATCCAAGTCAGTTACAAGAAAGAAGTTTTACTAATCAAAAATTAAAGCACTGGTGAAATATCACTGCAGTACAATTTTATTCTATACCAATTATTCTTTTTTTTTTCAGTATTACCACCAGCCACCTTTTATATCTTAACTTTTCCACTTTTAAGCATATGGCATCCTTCGATATTTTTTTCTTGAAAGACTTAAAATATGTGTTTCACTTCTCATTCATTAGTTTATGATGAGCTTACAAATTATCTTCTGATTTTCACAATTAATTTTTAGGTGAACACACTGGAGATGCTCATTCAGTGACAGAAATGCAACTCAGTGGAAAACATAAAAGATGATTTCTCCAACACCAGATCAATCTTCAAACATCCTCGTCATAAATTATCTGAAATTATCTTCACATAACACTTATGTATGTTGTAAAAATGTGCTTTTTAATAAACTAGATATCTCTATCTAATTAAAAATATGATAAAATTAAATAATAATTTCATTCAAAACAAGCCAAATTAAAGATTAATTGTTTAATTCTTTTCATACTGATGCTGATTCTACTGTATGCAAAAAAATGCAACTTTAAATTCCAAACTAGCAGATGTTTTTCATAGAATTTTAAATAGCAAACTGACTGAAAAGACACACTTTTTTTTTTTAAACAAATGAGAATGATTAAGCAGTGACAAAAGAACTTGTGCTCTGAAATAAATGCAAAAACAACTTCAGAAGACACTTAACAAAATCAAAAATATACTAAAACCAAATGAATTCATAAGTGATCTATGACATTCACTGTTGTACCAGTACGCTCACACATCAGGTAAGAAAATACACAATAAAACCTGAAAAATAAATTCTGCACTGACTATACCATTGCACAAATTCTGCAGTAAAATAATTCTGGAGGGGAAAATATTTTTGTGAGCTTACAGTAGCTTCTTTTTGTTTCATACTTAATTCTCTACCATTACTAAAAGATTAAAGGGGCATAAAATAGAACCAAAAATGGAAAAATAAAGTAATAAAAAGTTAAATAATTACTATGACGGTTGGTATTTGCAGGTACATCCCCAAAAGGCAATCAACATCCATAGAAACACATACACTCCAATTAATACACAGTAAAATTTTACAGGCCCTGATGCTCACATGCCTAGTTTCATTTACTGAAGTACCCCTTCAAAGCAATGAGATCAGCAACAGTGTACAGGACTGAGGCTGTAATTAAGGCCTTTCTAAGAGGTGCCACCATGACGGCCATTCACACATACTTAGATATTACATATAACAATGACAGGAAATTTTTGCACTGTTTAACACTGATCTCAATCCATGGTGCCTTCTTTACTTATTAATATACTAATTAATCAGGGACAGAATAATGATAGCCTACTATCACACTAATTGGTTTTTATTATTTATTATATTTTA